ATATATATATTCGACAGGTTTTTTGGTTCATTTCTTTCAGTACAACATATTACTGCGATGAACTTTTCCAGAATATGGATATGCGCTATGATCCAGATGAGTTTCATGAAGTCCTAGCCTCGACTAATGCAGATCTCCAAAGAATCCTTAGCATGCTCCCAACTTTAGAAGATATTGTGGGAAATCATTTAGGAAGAGATGAGATGATTTGTTCTCCTGGAACTCAACATGCGGTTCGTTCTCCTTGCTCATAGGTCTACCCAGTCTCAGTGATTGACGCAAACCCGTCACGCGTGCGCACCCCTTGTCGTATTGTCGAGTTGCGTGTGCGACAGGTCATGAGACAATTACCGTCTCCAACTTGATTAAATAAAAATTTCCAGAGTTCAGAGTTGACAAGAGCCCAAGTGAGAGCTTGGTTATACAGTTTGACAGTGAAGATCATGGATCTTACCTATGACGTAAATTCGTAAATTATGGGTGTTTGATTATCCTGGTAGTAATTTTGCAAACTTTAGTGCGACAATCTCAAGGTGCAGATCGCCAGGTTGATAAAGCGAATCCTTGAAGAAGGGTGAGTCTTCTATAAAAACCAGTTTAGCTAAAGCTAAGTTGTATATCCGTTGGCTATTGTCCGTATTCAACATAACGTTGACGTATCTCATCAATCTAGTAATTTAAGCAAAAATTGATTGTTCCTATGTGTCAATCGCAAATTTCTGGTGTTAGGTTCTTGCTCAGGTTCCTCATTCAAATTGTCGAGCTTCAATGCTTCTAAGACTACGGTTCGACTCAAAATAAAAGTAGGCTGGAAGTGTGAGAATTTTTGGCGGTAAATGATCTTCTAGTGAAAATAGCGGAGAGAATATGAGACATAGTGTTAAGCGGCGGTAGAGGCAGCCGTTGCATGCGGCACGTGTTTGTGCTGGCTGCGGACAAAACAGCACGCGCGGGTCAGGCTCGGAGAAAAAGACTATAAACATGCAGACATTGTGCTTTATATACATAGATTTGTAATTCAAAGACAATGGATTATTTCAGGAATGAATCTGAAGAGACGGCCGTGCGCGCATTTGTCAATCTTGAAGAAGCCGAAAAGGTGCATCAAAATATATTTCGTTGCAATTCTGACTGCAATGCTTGCTATTAAGCCAAGAACGGATAAATCGGCAGACATTGAAACAGATGTACCACCTATAGAGAGACCTTTGGCTGTGGTAAATAACGCTCGACCGTCTATCAGCGAGGTAAAACACTGCCATACATTCTACCTATTTTTTATTGTTTTGAAACAATTTTTTAGGCCTTTTGGGTATCACTTTCTGAACAACATGAGGAACCCACTACGGAGGTATAAAATTTTGATTTTCTGAGATATAGCATAATTGGGTG